AATTGCACTTAAACATTTCTTGGTCTTTAATTACATTTACCAATTTTATCCCAAATGTTTACAACAGCGTGTATCTTCTCCTCCCATTCTATCATTTCAACAACACTGTGAAAGAAAATGATCCAAAATCATGCTTGTTTTATAGCTGATTGGAGATCTGAGTCTGGTTTCTACTAAATTAATGTAGTGCTATACCATACTGTTCTAGTTTTTTCTTATTAAATGAGATTGATCTGATCAAGATAAATAGATATTCAGTTAGCCATATGTTATATTGATATGTAATACTAGTGTGAAAGCTCACTCCAGACATAGCAGCATTATTTGCATCTATCTGGCAAGGGACATGAGTGATAGAAATGATAGGTTTCATATGAACAACATGAGCTACTGTAATTGATAAGGAAATCTGTGAACTGATGGGACAAAGAGCTATAAAAGGGCACTGGAGTTGTTTCTGGGATCTTTTTAGTTTCTGTAATGCACTGCAACAATAGTCTAAGGATCTCTGAAGAAGAGTCCAACTTCACCACAGATTTTAAAAGCTTCATCTGCGTGTTCCATCACTACAATATCACATCTAAAGCATCCAGACTCTGATTTGAGGCACGCTACATTGCAGTTGTCCACATCAGTTTTAAATGACTCAGTGGATCAAATGTTGTTAACCAGTCTGTTTTCCAATGAACTGGTGTTATCATTCATTCATTTCCAAAATAATTTCTAAAAAGATTTCATACAACATTGAGGATACACAGAGAATTACACGATCAGGCAAAGCCCCACAAACCATCTCCTTAGGCAGGTACCAATGCTTGCTCCCTTCTAAAAACTCTGAACAAACTCCCCATAAGGAGTAGCAGCTGTTGACATGACCCATTTAAACATGGCCTGTCCCCATCATGCCTGTGTGCAAATACTACAACTCTAATGTAACAGGTTTTATATTTGCCTATACTACTGAATATACTTTTTCATATTGAAAAAGTTTGAAGGGAAGGCTTCTGTTGAGTTATTTTCTTGCTTTACTTTATTATTTTCTTAGGATCAGGTATGGAAACATTACTAGCCTGCAGGTATTTCATATTACAACATAGTAAATAATTGCATCCTATTTTCAAAATGTTTGGGATAGTACATCGTCTGCAAATATGCAATGAGAAATGACTGAAAATGACTCATTTGCATGTGTTCCTTTGTACGTGGAGGGCCTAGGAAAATCCAGTGACTTTTGCATGGTAAATAAATACATGAATGCACCCCAACAAATATATTGTTATATGTTGTTCCATATACAATTCATATATGAAGATGGAAGTATGATTAAAAGTTGATGAGTTTATAAATCTTGATTGCTTCATAATTTTAACTTTGAGCAACATTTTTATCATAATTATAGGCTTTCTTTAAGCATTTATGCAGATTGTTTTATTCAAAAGAGGTCTTGTTTCATTTCTGTGTAAACTGTACTCTTATGTCTTCATAAAATAAGAGCCTGTATTCATACAAGGGCAGTTTCATCATGTACTGTTCCTCCCCAGTAGTACAACAGCAGTAAGCATTCACAATTACTGGGGGGGGGGGAGTGTGAGATTTTTTTAAAGACATTATCTGAAGTTCTTGAGAATATTAGAAGTAACATGTAATGCTACTAGTTTTTCCTTCTTCAGACAAATAGGACAAAAAATATACTCTCAACAGCCTTCTCTAATCTTGTGCATGCCAAAGTATAAAGATTGCAATTCCAAGAAGCTGCACCCTTCACTTATTGAGATCAAACGGGATAACCAGTCAAGGAATAGCAGCTGTTCAGATGAAGTTGGAGACACTAACACAAACTTGTATGTGTGGGTGTGTATGTATATGTGTGTGTATGTGTGGGGTGAGTGTGTATATATGTATATGGGTGTGTGTGTATGTATTTATGTATGTATGTATGTATATGTATATGTGTCTGCCTGTCTGTCTGTATATACATGAGTATATATGAGAATATATTTAACATTCAAATTTACAGCAGTCTTTGTCATCATCCAGAAAGAAACACAAAATAGTCAGGAACATCTTGAGGTAAATTAAACAGTATACAGAACACATACAAGAAAAAGGAGGGAAAAAGGGGAAACTCTCCCTTTATACTCGCAGCCAATCATAGAGTAGATTGCATCATGCATGAGTCAGCACTCCCTAACTAATCAAGTACAACTGTGTGTTCTGGCCTATTGTGTACTTTACTGTTCCAGCTACTGAATTCAATATCCTAACATAACCTCACGGTGTGATTTTGTTAATTTGAGAATTATCCTAGAGTGGAATAGGTAAGTAGTAACATAAGCTATTTTATACAGCTAAGAGCGGGGAAAATCTTCTCATCCTGCTAAATTTAAGTGGGAGTAACCAGTTCTGAAACTGGATATTTTAAGTAATGATCTCCATATTCTGTGAAGTTTCTTATCCAGGGAATTGATAGGAAATAAATTTCTTTAAGCTTATTGCATAATTCATAGACATTACATGTAATAAATAGGCAGTCTGTCCCTTTGAGATCATCAGTGCCAAAGTTGGGAGCAAAATACAAAAGTTTAACCAATCTATCCATTTCTGATATGGCTCTTCTTGCCTCTCTAGTTTTTTACCTTGAAAAATGCTCAAGTATCTGACTCAAAATCACTTCCTAATACATACCCACCAAGGGAACTATAAACAATAGTTAAAGCTATACTTTAATGTATTGTAGTCAATTATTTGGAAGCTAAGCCAAATAAACTAAGCCAAATAAGGCCTGTTCATACATGCATGAGAGCCTCCAAAATATATGGGCTCCGGGCTAGACTGAGAAATGTTTTTTAAAAATGGAAAAAGCAGAGCAAATAACATCTATATTGCTGCCAAAAATCCCTACATTCCTGAAAGCACCCAGTAGTTAAGTTTGACTTGAGGGAGACTTTACTATGCTACATAGTCTCTTTAATAAGCACATGTGAAGCATGCCATCAAAATATTCACATTATTTCTCAGGGGAATAACAAAACTACAATGAATTATTACATTAGTAAAGGAATTAGCAATCCAATAGAATAAATGAAGAATAAAACGTAAGTTAAACAAAATAGCATGCCAAATATAGCCGTAATTAATATTTTAGAATGGAGATGACCAGGTGAGTTTGATCTGGTGGGTTTCAAAGCTATTTGTAGCCTTAGATTCTTGATTGATTTAATATTTCTGAAACCTAGAACAATGAGTAGCAAATTGAGACATGATCCCAGAGTGGTCTAGAATAAAGGAAATGGTGATTAGGAGGAAGGTAATTTTGGGCACTCAACATTTGTTTAAATTAAGAAATATACTTACAATATTGATAAATATAATGATATTTCAAAGGATTTTTTAAAAGAAAAAGCATGAGAACTATACAGTATTGTAAACAGAACAACTTTAAAAATTAATATTTTGCATAAAATATTATTATATTGCCTTAAACAATGACTAAAATATGTTTATAAACAAGACATAACCAAAATCAAATAATAATTTTAAAAAATCCATTGCTGCATATCAAATATAGATTTCTTCTTCCAATGTTGCATTATTTCTTTAGCCTATCCAATGCCAAAAAATGCATAATACTTGAAACATTCCAAACATAAGGCTATGACCAAGAAAATATATGCATTTTAACATATGACACATAATATATGTACAATATTATACACAGATGAGAATCATTAAATAGTGGGAGGATATAAATGGATAAATGAATATATTTTGACACGTAGAGATTGAGCCACTCAGCCAATTATATTAACATTCTATTGATTTCAATCCAAACTGGGAATATCAAGGTAAAATCAAATCAAGTAAATTAATGTCCCAGCTCCTGATCTGCATCTCTAGCGAGATGATTCCAACGAACTCTTATTATATATTCTCTGACATATCCAATATACATGAGAAAAAACACTATGTTAACCTCCTTTAATTTTTCACATTATTTAAAGCAATTCTTCACTGATTTAGCAGAAAAGGAACTCTCAACGCATTATTTCAGAGTTCACATTGCTAATTAGTATCAATTTCATTTAAATTTCTATAAAAAGGAGTCATGGTTTTGGCTTACTATAGTCTGTATTGATTCCTCCATAATCTCTAAAATTTCAGTATTTTACAAGTAGGAATAGTAACAGTGACTTTGCCATTGTAATATGCCTTTACACTTTATATTTGGAAAGGTTTCCTTTAATTTATCTGCTTCTTCATGTGAGATACTCTTGCCCATTAAACAAGAGATAATCTTAGAGAACTGGCAACTCTTTCTTGGATTTACCAACATCTTCTCAAACTGGAAATATATAGATTTTCTTAATATTGTTGAGGATATGGAAAAGAAATTATTGTGAAGCTTTTAGATTTAGATTTAGATTTTATTGAACTTCTATACCGCCTTCTCCCAAAGGACTCAGGGCGGTGTACAGCCATATTGAAACACATATAAACCACAAAATTTAAGAACAATTTAAAAACAAATATATAAAATTTGGCCCACGAAATTAAAAACTAACAAACACCCAATTTAAAAATTCCTATTAGGCCAGCCCGGCTTGTTGGAATAAAAGAGTCTTCAGGGCACGGCGAAAGGTTTGCAGGTCGGGGATCATATGAACCTCTAGAGGCAGCTCATTCCAGAAGGCTGGTGCCCCCACAAGAAGGCTCTCCCCCTGGGTGTTGCCAGTTGACATTGTTTGGCCGACGGCACCCTGAGGAGTCCCTCTCTGTGGGAGGGTATTGGCCGATGGGAGGCTATCGGCGACAGAAGGTGATCTCGTATATACCCCGGTCCTAAGCCATGGAGTGCTTTAAAGGTGGTAACCAACACCTTGAATCGCACCCAGAAGACCACCGGGAGCCAGTGCAGCTCGCGCAGGAGAGGTGTTACATGGCTGCGTCATGTTGCCCCCATAATCACCCGCGCGGCTGCATTCTGGACCAGTTGGAGCCTCCGAGTGCTCTTCAAGGGGAGCCCCATGTATCAGATGGATCTCTTTAAAGTGGGTTAAAGTGGATTAAATGATCAACCAAATAGTTAAGGTGGTTCAATTTAAAAAGGAAAAGTAATGCACATTGGTTTAAAAAACACTAGCTTTCAATAATGAAATTTAATTTTCTGTCAGTCATCAGAAAAAAGATACTGAGATTGTAACTGATAGTTCAGTGAAAGTGTTGATTCAATATGAAGCAACTACAAAAAAAATCCACATTAGAGATCCCTTAGAAAAAGATTGAAAATAAAACCATTTGTCTGAAATGGTATGGTATGCTTAGGCAGGAAACCATTTCAGGGTTTCCTGCCTAAGCAGGGGGTTGGACTAGAAGACCTCCAGGGTCTATTCTATTCTATTCTATTCTATTCTATTCTATTCTATTCTATTCTATTCTATTCTATTCTATTCACATTATAATTCAATACAGATCTATAGATTGTCCTTGTATAGTAGCTACTATTGGGTCAGCAACTTAGTCTTAAATGAAGTGGTTGCTAAGTGAAACCAGTACTGTGCTTATGATCTTACTTCAGTTTTCCTTTGCTTTACAGACCTATGAAGGTCATAAAGGTGAGGATTGGTTGTAAATTGCTTTTTCATCACCATTGTAACCGCAAATAGTCAACAAGGCAGTTGTAAATGAAGATTATCTGTATCTGGAATCCTGTGTATAATTCTCATTTACCACACTTGAAAATTTATATGATATAATATGCAAAAGAGAGAAGCCAAAATGATACAGGGGCTCAAATATAGCTTTGCCAGAAAAGATTAGAATATTTAGGATTCTTTTTAAAAAAAATCAAGTAAGCAGGGAACATGATTGTGATATATAAAATTATCATGGCATAGGGGAAACACACAAAAAGTACTTATTCACACAATATGTAATTAGCCTGAGGAATTGATTACCACAAAATATGATACTAACCACTAATTTTGTTGACTTCTAAGGTCAACAAAATGAGGACACAGATTGTTGGGGGCAATATGCCAACACCCAGAGAGTGCTGTAAAGCACTACGAGATGATATATAAGTCTAAGTACCATTGTGATAGCTATTTAAAGGGGGACAGGAGTAATTCATTGTAGAATAATTCATAATAGTCCATCAGGGCCAATATTCTTGAACAATCAAGGTTATCTTCAGGTTGGGGAAAACATGCCTCCAAAACACCAGGGGAAAATGGCAAGAAAGGGAGTTCGTCATATCCTCCTTATGAGACCAGAAGCATCTGAATGTATCCTAAGAGAAAGAAAATGTTACATTACAATGAAAAATGACCTACAACTGGTCTTTGCACTTGTGATTGTGGCAACATCCCCACAATCACATGGTCAAAATTTGACTGCTTGGCAGATGGCTGCAACATCACATGGTCATGTGGCCACCATTTGCAACCTTCAGAGCTAGCTTTTGACAAGCAAAGTCAATGGGGGAAGCTGGGTTTGCTTAATGGCCATGTGATTGAGGTAACAGCTGCAATGATTTGCTTAACAACTGTGGCAAAAAAATCATAAAATTGACCATGACTCACTTAACAATTGCCTTGTTTAGCAATGGCAATTGTGGTCCTGACTTTGATTGTGAGTCAGGGATTACCTGTAATAATCCCATACCAGTGGAGGAATCATGAAAGATAAAATTTTGAAACTAACAGTATCATAAGCAGTAGGGAACACTGCCTTCAGGACTTGGATTATAGCCCCTCACCCTTCGGATTGTCTTAAAACCAAAAACTATGTTCAGTCTAATGAACTAAGCCCCACTGAATTTATGACAAATCTTCCTTGGTATATCCATAGAAGTTTGTAGAAGTTCAGAAGATCATTTATCATGCTTTGACTCTGATATTTTAGGATTATTTTCCAATGAATAAATTCAAGAAGACCTAATTATGAGTTATCATGTCCAGATGTCATTACAATTTTATGTATATCTGACATGGGTTTTTGTTTAATGAAATAAAAAAAAAAACCCATGGAAATATTGAAAGCACCAGGCAACCTAGCTACCTATAATTACATGATCAGAGTGAGAGCCCTACCACTAAAATTAAGCCCCCACCCCTAAATCTTCAAACCCATGAGTCATTTTCAATTTCAATTTTATTTTGCAGATAATATTCAGATATATTTTTACTTTTCTATGGCCATAATGGTTCAAGAGCAACATTACTTCTATTAGATTTAGACTGAGTTTCATTTATTTATTTTCCCTTTAGATTCTTTTATGACACTGAATTTGAAGAAATTTAGTTTATATTATCAGGCGGTTTTAAAAATTAGATTGCTATGGAATTTGCTCCTTAACTATTTAAAACCAAACAAAACTTCATAGCTTAGCCACATTCATTTTAAATCAAATTATTCACTGTGCATACATCCACGGTGAGAATTTCCCTCATAACAGAACTCATTTAAATATCTCCACAGATATCCTGTCAATAAGGACTAGTCTTAGTGCATTCGCTTTCCACATATAATATATTTAGTAATCTCACCAAACTCAGTTCTTGGGGGGGGAGAGTTCTTTATGTAATATATGTATGAAAGAATAAAATTAGAAAGTAATAACTTGCTTGTAGATAGCTTGCTATCCTCCTTCCAAAAATAATGGTCTCAGATATAGCCAGAAAATGGTTTTAGTTCCTCATCACATTTCACCTGGAAGTAAATATCAACTGAGTAAAATCAACCACATATCTAAACATCAAATAAAATGTCTAAATTTAGACCAACTGTTCAATTATTGGACATATCTATATGGTCTCTTGACAAGAACAATACAAATACAATACAATGACTTTTTCCAGGACTTTTAAAAAACTTCCCTCTGTCTTGATTTTCCTACGTCATTTCAAGATCAACTGCTTGTTCCCAATGCCTATAGGTGCTTAAACATTATTTAAAATCATATAGATGAATGTGAAAAACATGTATTTGCAAATATGAGTATGCCAAAAAGAGGATAATGACTGATTGTAAATCCCTGGGAATGAGTCCACATGGGATTTACTCTGTGATGTGGGAAAGGGATATGGACACAGGTTGATTTGGATTTCTAGTTTTACCAAAAATGAACATTTACCTTCAACAATATTCTTGAAAGATTTATCTCCAAACCTCTCAAATAAATGTTATATTAAAATGGGGCCACTGTAACCTATTTTATTCTCAAAAAATTGTTTCTATGCTGTTTTTTAAATTGCTTTTCAGGATTTGTTCTGCTTTTGGGTCTCAAGAAATATTCAGTGTTTCTTTGGAAGTAACCCCCTCTGCTTTAAATGGACTTACTCCATGTATGTTAGAATGCAGCCTTTGGAAATGTCATGGTTAATCTTGTCTGTCTTTCATGCTAAATGGAGGTTAAATGTTTTGGCATTAGGACATTGCTTTCCTCATCAATGAAAGTAGTTGTCTACATTCTGGAAGTTTAAAAAAAATGTACAATGAATTCCTTAAGATCCCTGCCACTTCCACCATTTATCTAAAAAGTGGCAAGGCATTTATGAAATCAGTTTCTCCACCAAGAGATAATATTCACAATAATTTCAGTTGCATTTCATTTCCTAAGTTTTCTATTCTCTTGAACATGACAATATATTCTGGACATAATTGACTCAAAACTATGCATTTTCATGCATAGTTTTCTGACCTTTTTAAAAAGGGGGATGGCAGAGGTTAGAATTCCTTTAATCTGGATCAATATCCTTTCCTACCAGTTTACCAGTCAAGCCACAAGGATTAAAAGGACTAATTTTTAAAATGCATATACAAATGTATGCACATGCTCAGAGGTTCAAAATGCACACATTTAAAAACCATGCTGAGGAACTAGAAAATTCTAGAATGGGAAAGACAATACCAAGGAGTTAAACTGATGCCATTTTTAGGAGTGGGAAAATGTGTGGCTCCTGACAGCTAGGATATATGCAAATATCTCAAGAAACAAGAAATGCACAGTATAATTCTAACGTTAAATTCGATTTGTAGTTCCTACTGTAGATATTCCAATAAAATCATGTAGAAGTTTTCTCTGTATCATCCTTTCATTATTCTGAGTTTTTAAAAGAATATGGGTGCAGAATTAGCCAGAGCAGTTCTCAGATGAAATAAAAATTATTCTGGATCAGTGATAAATTGACAAATTTCCCCACTATTTCTGCCTGTATTTTAGTGTTAACTTTCTTCCCCATCCTTCCCCAATAAAAGAGGAAATAAAAGGTTACGCCCAGTACAGTATTGAACTTTGCAGGTGCAAAAGAATAGATGCATATACCTCTGCTTAAATTGATCCTACTACTTCTCCTCTTTTGCTGCTCCTGTAAGTTGATTTTCATGTCATGTTTGAACCGTTATCCCAAAGAATCGTCACATACATCATTCTTGTATTATTTTGAGCATAATGAAAATAATGCTCAATGTGTTGGCATATGGATGAGCAGAAAATCCAAGGAGCACTCTCTCATTCTTATCTCTATAGGAACAACAAAAACAAAAAGAGCAATCAAAAGCTTGCTAATGGACAGTTCTACCAAATGCCTAACCGGCAGACGAGCCATGCTTCCATCCAAAGCATCGTCTTTATTGGATCAGGGCGGTCAATTTAAAAAATTCTACCAGACTGAGATATTTGCTGAATTTCTCTCTTGTAAGAGCATCGCAAGAAAACAAGGTCTTGAACCCAGGATTTTACCCGCCCTCTTCCCACCGCTCCACACCCACACCATATATCTTGAAGCCCCTTTAATGTGTGCTGCACTTGGACGATCTTTCCCTGTCTCCCCCTCCCCAAATATTTCTTCCCTAAGGTACGGACTTTTGTTTTGAGCACACACGCACTCTCGAGTACTGTTCTCTTATTTCCCTGTCTGAAATGTGAGAAGGAGTTGCTATAATTTGGAGGTTAGGTTGCTAAAGACGCCGCTTTTCAACAGCAAACACGGCCAGCAGAGATGGTCAGGGTGCTTCTTTTGTGTACGGTTTACACACTGGCACCTTTTAAAAAAAAAAAAAATGCCTGAGCTCAAACTCAATTTCACAACCCACGTTTGTGTGAAATGCAGGTTTGACATCTGTTTGCCAGAATGTTTTGCACTTAGCCTAACACCCACTATTAAGTGACAAAAATTGTGGCAGGTTGTCAAAGCCAGCTGACTGACAGGTGCTCCGCTTAACAAAAAGAGAGACAGCCGCGGGGGTGGAGGTGGAGAAGAGGGACACCATTCAACTACTTGCAAAGCTGAGAAGCTCGCTCCAGTACTATCCCCTGTTCAGTATTTCCCTGTTTAAGTGGGAAAATGTAAGTGGCAGGCTTGGAATTGTCGCACCCAGTTCATTTGGCGGATTGCAACATAAACAAGACTGGAGGCGATTCCAAAGCAAATGAGGCTACAGACCGAAATACTGTTCTAGCAGGAACTAAATCTTGATAATTTCAATGGGATCTACTACCCAAGTGTAGGTTTGGCTGGGATGAAGAGATGAAGAGGAGTTTAAATAATTCCCTTCGTCTGAAGCGCCGGTGAAGGTGTATCACGCGGTCCCATAAATCCAGAACTTCCCCCAAGATTCCTGCGCCGAATTTTTCCAATAAAAAATTGGCCTTAAGGACGGTTTATTTTTCAAAAAAAAAAATGTGTTTTAATTCAGACTGTCTTTTTCCCTTTTTCGTTTTGAGAGAAAATTTTTAGCTTTTGACATATTTTAAAAAAACTATTCAGAAGACTGCAGTTTGCAGGGAAACGATTGGGCTCGGGATGTCGGAAGGCTTGCTATAGGGGAGGACGTCAAACAGCAGCGGCTTCCACTAGAAATTTTCTGGCGGCGGAGGGAGCAATCAGCTCCCAGCCGAACTTCCCCGACGCCTCCTCCCCGCGGAGATGGAGGAGCCTCCGCTGCGCCGCCGCTCGGAATGGCTCGCAGCGGCCCCAGTGCCCTCTTCTATCCCATCCCACCCCCGTCGCCAGTTCAAAGGAGCCCTTCAGCAATCGCCTGCATCAGGCAGGGGCCTTTCCCGGAGTCGTGCGTGTGCGTGTGCGCACCTGGAGAGGCTCACGCCCATCCAGGTACACTGTTAGACCCCTAGGAGTCCCTTATTGCCCCCTCCTGAAGCGACGCTTCCCGCAATAGGCGCAGGCTTGACGGAGCCCCGGCAGACTCTCCCTCCTCCAGCAGGAAGTTGCTGGATGCAAGGCAGAAGCCGGCGAAGTGCGGCAGAGCGCGCCCTCTTCTCGGAGAAGGGGAGCTGGAGACCCTCGCTGCAGGACTTTGGCGACGCCAAAGTATTCCGGGGGTGGAGAGAGGGATCCTAACTTGCCAGCTCGAACAAAATAGAATAGGAGCAACCCGGGAGGTAAAGGAAACCCCGCCGGGGGCGTCCCAAGCAGGTGCCCCAGAGAAAAGGCGGGAGACCCACCAGATTCACGGAAAAAACGGGGGGGGGGGGGCAAGGAAAGGCTGGGTTCCCCTTTCTTCCTTCAAGCGGCGTGGTCCCATCTGCTTTCCAACCAACTGCTCGGTCCTATTCGCCGAGACTGAAGGAGAAGGCGGGGGGGGGCACAAGAGTGGAAGTGGCTATTTATTAGGCTCCTTGTTTGGTATTGTTCAGTGACATACAAAAGCGCTTCATTATATTCCAGAATTGGAGGAGGGGGGGGAGTAGGAGGGAGGGAAGCCCTGCTCAGTCGCTGCTGTAGCCTTTGTTTTGTTGTTTTTCCAAGAGAGAAACAATAACTTGAAATTGTCTAGAAAGTCTTTCTCCGGTTTTTTTTTTTTTAAATCAATAATAAATTTCATTTCCGAGCTTCTCTCTCTTTCTCCCCCCCCCCCCCCCAGCGCGAGAATATGTGAGAGGGAGAGAAAGTGAAAGGGGGAGAGAAAGCGAGCGGGAGAGGGTGTGTGTGGACGAGGGTGTGCGCCGCTGCCCGGGCACTCTCGCTCTTGGCACTATGGTGGCGCAGCCAGCGCTGGCTGGGCGAGCGGAGAGCGACGCTGGGCAGAGGTACACCCGGCTAGGCGCGGGAAGGTGGCCGAGGCAGCTGGCCTGCCCTGCGGGAGAGGCTGCGCTCCGGAAGGCTGCGGTGCGGGGAGCGGAGGAAACGGGAACTGTAAGTGGGCCGCGAACTTTTGAAGGGGGCGGGTGGGTGGGTCACTCTGGGGGTGGGGGGGGGGGGGACGGGCACCACAAGGAGTTTGCAAGGGAGGCGGGCTTCCAACTTTCCACAAGTGGAAAGAAAGACCTTCCTAAAGCCGCCGCATCGATTGGAATGCCTGTGGAGAAGTGTGACGAATACGAGAGGAGGGGGTCTTCCCCTTTTTTATGATAGGGTTTTCCTTTGTATTCTTCCTTTTTTTAGGCTGACCCTCCCTCCCTCCCTTATCCCCCAAAGGCAGCACCACTTCTCCATTTCCCGCTCAGCAGGACAATGAGAAACTGGGCGGCAGCTCCTCCAGCCCCGCGCCTCTTTTTCATCCCCACCGCAGCAGAGGGAAGGCGGAGGGGACAGAGAGAGGCCAGCACCTTCCTGGTTAGGGGTGTTGGGGCTTCCCCATTAAGAACGCGCAGCTTTGGCGTGAGGGTCCCAGGAGCCGCTACTATTTTTTTTTTTTTTTTTTACTAGAAACAAATCCACGCGTAAGAACGCAGAGGCAGACGCTTAGCACGGCAACCGGTTTCGGTTCGAGAGAGCCCCGGCCTACTAGGCTCGAGGGAAAGTACAGGAGCACCGGGCCCCGAAACTCCGTATCTGCCTTTTCGAAGGCGGGCTGATGAGATTCTGCGACCTGGGGGCCGGTTTCCCCGGGCGCTCAAGACGGTCCTGGCCATGGGGAATAAGAGTCAAGACCCCGAAAGGGTCCCCGATCTCTCTCCCCTCCTGCTAAATCACAAGCAGGGAATCGCTGACTCCGAGCTAAAGCCAGGTGAGCTTAGCTCTCCAACTGAGCGGAGCGCATCGCTCGAGCTTTCTTGGGCTGCAGAGCTCCGGGGACGCGCCCCGACTCTTCCCCCCCTCTGCGTCCATTTCCCGGCGAGAAGAGGGCGCGGGAAGGCTGTTTCGACCATGGCGAAGGGGCCGGGCTTGGAGCTGGCCCCCTTTCCATTCCGGACGCAGACGGCTCAGATCCCTGGCCGGAAGAAGCGAAGCCAGTTCGTAAATTCGCTACCGCTCTTTCAAGGGCCTGGGTTGCCAGAAAAGCTTGGGAGAAAGCGGGAACCCTCTTTGTTTCATGCGCAAAAGGCGGGCCTTGTGTTCGCTGAGGAAGGGCTGCAAAAGAGAGTAAATAGAAGAGAACCGTTTAAGATGCGTCTGCTCTAAGGCGAAACAAAGCAGGCGGTATCAAACGGGTCAGAATAACCCGTTTGACTGTGGCGTTGAAAGGAAGCCAGATCTCTTGACTTTTCGGCGAGATTTCTCTTTCTAGCTACATAAAGTCCTTCACAAAATAAAAGAAAGAAGAGAAAGAAACAGGCAGGTGGGAAGGGGAAGGGGAAGGAAGGAAGGAAGGAAGGAAGGAAGGAAGGAAGGAAGGAAGGAAGGAAGGAAGGAAGGAAGGAAGGAAGACAGGCAGGCAGGCAGGCAGGCAGGCAGGCAGGCAGACAGACATGTTGGAATCCACACAGTCGAACTTTAAAATATTAACAGTTTAATGCAGCACTTTAGCAAACAACCAATAAAATATTGTTTATGTGGGCATATATATTCAGTTGCATGCACTCTTGGGGACATAGGGATAGTGGACACCAAAGTAAACATTCCTGTAGACTGCAACTCTCTGGTCTAAATTTCTTAGAAAGGCAAACTGGATTAGGCCTATAGTCTGAACTCAGTCTCAGATGTTTTAGAAACTGCCCCCTCAAAATTTGGATGACAGATAGGACAGGAGCATTGCTTCACATTGAAAATGATTTCCTCCTTTTAACAGTGAAGTGGCTGGGGTCCAGACCACAGAATCACTTCAGGTGTTAAGAATGAGGAGTCCCAGGACAAAACCAGCAGAAATAATTTGAGTAGACGGAAGATTTCTCTGCCTGCTCAAGTATACTTGGAAAATATGCAGAGAACAAGGGGGAGCGGGAGAAGAGGCACAGAATCACACAAATACAATACTCCATTTCTCCCACCTCCCACTTCCTTTTCTTTCAAAAGCCTGGAAACCTTTCACAAGTTCCAAATACATTTTTGCAAAATGATGCCAGTAGGAATAAATGGATGTGACTCCTCTATGCAGGTCCCAATTAAATATTGCATTAATATCTTATTTCATTCCTTATTTAAATGCATAAAGTGGCAGCCACCTGGGTTCAAGTAGTATAGAAGCAGAAGGTGCTAACCCTGTTATAAATAAGTTTAGAAAGAAGTAGTGATTCCTGAGGTAGATAGTACACTTGAGTGGTGAAATGCAGAGGGGAAACTACACTGTTCTTAAATAGGATTGTAGAAGGAAGGAAAGACTTGTAGCTACCTATATAATTTTTCCTGTATGCTTTTAGAAGTTTTTACCTGTTATTTTACGAAGATATAAAGGATTCGGAACTCAGCCTTGATATCACAGTTTTGATGTTCCCTCCTGGAACACAGAATTTTGGGTCCTGTGCTAAGCAGAGAAATGAACGTGGTTGTCTATGGGATTTCTAAAGGTCCAGTAACAATGCCTAAATCTTGGAGATGCATTTCCATAAGGT